AGAGTTGGTGTGGAGAGCACTGTAGTCATAAAGATTCTGGAGCATAGGCAAGGCGGCAGGCGCTTATATATTAACGCCAGGTGGAAAGGGACGAGGGTATAGTCACTGGTAGGCGGAATTCCCCAGTGGAAGTAGGTCAAACACAAAGAGTGGCTTAGTTGTAGTATTGGGTTATGTACATGTTCTCAGAATCAAGATTCCATGATGTTGCAATGTCTGACAAGTTGTACAAGAATGGTAATCAATACCGACAAGATATTTAGACACATATGCAACATCTACAATAAAGATAGCCAGATGTTGGATATCATCTTGTCGGAATTGCATGCCATTCTTGTACAACTTGTCAGACACTGCAACATCATGGAATCTTGATTCTGAGGACATGTGCATAACCCACTGCTACAACTAACCCATCTCTTTGGGTCTGACCTACTTCCACTGAGGAATCCCACCTACCAGTGACTATGCCGAGGCAGAGGCACTGTGTGTACCACTAACATCAACCTTCAACATATCTATCGTAACAGGGCCACTACCTGAAATGTGGAAAATGGCAAATGTAGTCCCAGCCTTTAAGAAAGGAGACGGGCAAGTAGCATTAATCTACAGACCAGCATCACTGACATGCATAGTATGCAAAGTCATGGAAAGGCTTATCAGGAGAAGAGTGGTGGAGCACCGAGAAAGAAATGAGATATATACGATAATCAACATGGGTTCAGGGAGTGAAGCTTTTGCGTCACAAACGTACTGGAGTTTTACAACAATGTGACAAAACTAAGAAGGGAGAGAGAGAGGGATGGGTGGATTGCATTTTCTTGAACTACAAAAAGGTATTTGACACAAGTCCGCACAAGAGATTAGTGCAAAAACTACAGGAGCTGGCACGAATAATAGAAAAGGCACTGCAGCGCCTAAGAGAATACCTGACAGGAACGAAAGAACGAGTGATGGTACGTGACGAGGTGTCAGAGTGGGCGCCTGTGACGAGCAAAGTTTCACAAGGGTCAGTCCTAGGTCCAGTGCTGTTTCTGGTATATGTGAATGACATGACGGAAGGGATAGATTCAGCGGTGTCCTTGTTTGAAGACGATGTGAAGCTAATGCGAAGAATTCAAGTAGACGAGGATCAGGTGGGACTACAAAGGGACCTGGACAGTTTTCAAGCCTGGTCCAACAACTATCTCCTTGAGTTTAACTCCACCAAATGCAAAGTCATAAAGAATGGGGTTGGTAAAAAAAGACCATAGGTGGCCAAACATTGCAAACCTCACTCTATTAATAAGATCTTGGGATGAGTAAAATACTGAGCAGTTCTCCTGATTCAAATATCAACCAAATAAATGCAGCAGCAAATGGGCGCCTGGCAAACCTAAGAATAGCATTTCGACAATTGAGTAAGGAATCATTCAAGACTCTGTATACGTTGTATGTCAGGCTCATATTGGAGTATGCAGCACCAGCATGGAACCCATACCTGGTCAAGTACGTCAAGAAATTAGAAAAGTACAAAGATTTGCAACAAGACTAGTCCCAGAGCTAAGGGAGTAAGTCGTACGAGGAGAGGATAAAGGAAATCAACCTGACGACACTGGAGGAGAGGAGAGATAGGGGTACATGATAACATACAAAATACTGAGAGAAATTGAGAGGGTGCATATTTGACAGGATGTTTAAGAGACAGGACACAGCAACACGAGACAGGACACAGCAACAAGAGACAGGACACAGCAACACGAGACAGGACACAGCAACACGAGACAGGACACAGCAACACGAGACAGGACACAGCAACAAGAGACAGGACACAGCAACACGAGACAGGCACAGCAACACAGACAGGGCACAGCAACAAGAGACAGGACACAGCAACACGAGACAGGTCACAGCAACACGAGACAGGACACAGCAACAAGAGACAGGACACGGCAAAAAAGAGGGCAGGACACAGCAACAAGAGACAAGACACAGCAACAAGAGACCCGGACACAGCAACACAGACAGGACACAGCAACAAAGACAGGACACAGCAACACGAGACAGGACACAGCAACAAGAGACCCTGACACAGCAACAAGAGACAGGACACAGCAACAAGAGACAGGACACAGCAACACGAGACCCGGACACAGCAACAAGAGACCAGAACACAGCAACAAGAAACAGGACACAGCAACAAAGACAGGACACAGCAACAAGGGGACAGGACACAGCAACAAGAGACAGGCCACAGCAACAAGAGACAGGACACAGCAACACGAGACAGGACACAGCAACAAGAGACAGGACACAGCAACAAGAGACAGGACACAGCAACAAGAGACAGGACACAGCAACAAGAGACAGGACACAGCAACAAGAGACAGGACACAGCAACAAGAGACAGGACACAGCAACAAGAGACAGGACACAGCAACAAGAGACAGGACACAGCAACACGAGACAGGACACAGCAACACGAGACAGGACACAGCAATAAGAGACAGGACACAGCAACAAGAGACAGGACACAGCAACAAGGGGTCATAACTGAAAGTTGAAAACTCAGATGAATTACCGAATTTTTTTATTAATACATCGGCCGTCTCCCACCTTGGCAGGGTAACCCGAAAAAGAAAATCTTTCATCATCACTGTCCATCACTGTCTTCCCAGAGGCGCGCTCACACTGCAGTTATAAAATTGCAACATTAACACCCCTCCTTCAAAGTGCAGACACTGTACTTCCCATCTCCAGGACTCAAGTCCCACTTTCCGGTTTCCTGAATCCCTCCATAAATGAAACCTTGCAAACACTCCAACAGCACATCAAGTTCTAAAACGCCATTTGTCTCTACTCACTCTTGTATAACACGCTCACGCATGTTTGCTGGAAGTCCAAGCCCCTCACACTCAAACAGTCTGGAGAGTGATGTAGTGGAGGCAGGATGCATACATAGCTTTAAGAAGAGATACGACAAAGCTCATGGAGCAGGAAGAGAGTGGACCTAATAACGATCAGCGCAGAGGCGTGATCAGGAGCTGTGACTCGACCCCTGCAGCATCAAATAGGTAAGTACACACACATAGTGAGTAAAATTAGGGTATTCTTCCAGAATGGTTTGTAGTGTACAAATGTGGAAAAAAAAGGAACTGTTCAACTGTCTCCCAGTATACATAAGGGGGATTACCAATAACTAATATTTTTAATTTATCTCTTCAAACAGGTGCAGTGTCTGATATGTGGAAGATGGCTAATGTAATTCCTATTTTTAAAACAGGGGACAAGTCGTTACCGTCAAATTACCGCCCAATAAGCCTGACCTCAATTGTAGGCAAATTACTAGAGTCAATTATAGCTGAGATTATAAGAAGCCATCTCGATAAGCATAGCTTGATTAATGATACTCAGCATGGATTCACAAGAGGCCGGTCTTGTCTAACTAATTTATTAACTTTCTTCAGTAAAGCTTTTGAGGCTGTTGACCACGATAAAGAATTTGATACTATTTACTTAGATTTAGTAAGGCATTTGATAGAGTTCCGCACCAAAGACTGTTGAAGAAAGTAGCAGCTCATGGCATTGGGGGAAGGGTGCTCTCGTGGATCGAATCATGGCTCACAGACAGGAAGCAAAGAGTGTCCCATAAATGGGGTTAAATCCGAGTGGGAATCAGTAACAAGTGGCGTTCCACGGGGATCAGTCTTGGGCCCGTTTTGTTTTTTATATATCAATGATCTTGAGAAGGAATTACTAGTGAATAGCAAATTCGCCGATAAACACGAAGATAGGTAGGATAATTGTTTCAAACGTAGATGTTAGGGAACTTCAGAGGATTTAAAACAAACTCTACTCTTGGTCAAAAAGTGCAGATGCATTTCAAGTAGATAAATGCAAGGTTCTGAAGCTCGGGAGTGTCCATAACCCTACACTTATAAGTAAATAATGTAGAACTTATCCATACAGATTGCAAAAAAGGACTTGGGGGTTAAAGGGTAAGCAGCAACCTTAAACCAGACAGCAATGCCTAACGAAACGTAATAAGCAAATAGATTACGGGGATTTTATATCAAGAAGTGTAAGCAACAGAAGTCCAGGGGTCATACTCCCAGCTTTATACATCATTAGAAAAAGGCCTCACCTAGATTATCCCAGCTCAATTCTGGTCGCCATATTACAGAATGGACAAAAATTTCGTTAGAAAACTTTCAGCGTAGGATGACTAAATTAATACATAGCATTAGAAATCTTCCTTATGAAGAAAGATTGAAGACTCTTTAATTTAAACATTCACTTGTTAACGAAGAAAGAGGGGAGACCTGATCGAAGTGTAAAAGTGGAAATGGGTATTAATAAAGGGGATATTAACAAGGTCTTGAGGATATCTCCCAAGAGAGAACCCGCAGAAAATGGATTTAAATTAGATAAGTTTAGATTTAGAAAGGACTTAGGAAAGTATTGGTTGGAAAATAGGGTATTAGATGAGTGGAACAGTCTACCTATTTGGGGTTATTGGGGCTAAGGATTTTGGGGTTTAGTTTCAAATTTAGGTTGGATAAATACATGAGTGGGATGGGTTGGATTTGAGTGGGACTTGCACATCAGAGCTTATTTCTTGGGTAGCATTGAAAATTGGGTAGGTCAAATGTTTGTTAGTGGGATGAATTGTAAAGGACCTGCCTAGTATGGGCCAACAGGCCTGCTGCAGTGTTCCTCCTTTCTTATGTTCTTATGTTCTTATGTACCCCTGGCTGTCTTTTAACAAGGCACTGGACAGTCAGCTTGCGTGCGGCCAGCAGTAACAGCCTGGTTGATCAGACACTGATCCACCATGAGGCCTGGTCTCAGACCGAGCCTCGGGGGCGTTAACCCCCCGAAAACATCTCCAGGTAAACTCCAGGTAAACTTCAGATAAACTCCAGGTAAACTCCAGGTAAACTCCAGGTAATTTCCAGGTTACAAGTGTCTTATTCATCAAGTTGGTGGTATTTAATACTATGTTTGATGACAATACTTACATTGTTGTTGTAGTTGAAGAGGCCGTGTTTCTGGGGCACTGTGAAGTAGTTCCAGTCTGACTCACTCTGCATCAGGAACGCATTCATCCCAGGGATCTGAGACTCGGGGGGCGGCGGCCCCCCTGACTCCAGCACCAGCACCTTCCACTCCCTCACCTCAGCCAGCCTGGACGCCACGGCACTCCCGGCTGACCCTGACCCCACTGAAGAACAAGGTCAACCTGTAACATTACTACTGAAGAACAAGGTCAAGCTGTAACATTACTGAAGAACAAGGTCAACCTGTAACATTACTGAAGAACAAGGTCAAGCTGTAACATTACTGAAGAACAAGGTCAAGCTGTAACATTACTACTGAAGAACAAGGTCAAGCTGTAACATTACTACTGAAGAACAAGGTCAACCTGTAACATTACTACTGAAGAACAAGGTCCCAAACTGTAACATTACTAAATGAAAACAAGGTCAAGCGAACATTACTACTGAAGAACAAGGGCAAGCTGTAACATCACTACTGAAGAACAAGGTCAACTGTAAAATAAATACTGAAGAACAAGGTCCAACCTGTAACACACTACTGGGAAAAACAAGGTCAACCTGTAACATTACTACTGAAAAACAAGGTCAAGCGTAACATTACTGAAAACAAGGGCAAGTTTTAACATACTGAAGAACAAAAGGGCAAGCTGAAACATTACTGAAGAACAAGGTCAAGCTTTAACATTACTGAAGAACAAGGTCAACCTGTAACATTACTGAAGAACAAGGTCAAGCTGTAACATTACTGAAGAACAAGGTCAACCTGTAACATCACTACTGAAGAACAAGGTCAAGCTGTAACATTACTACTGAAGAACAAGGTCAAGCTGTAACATTACTACTGAAGAACAAGGTCAAGCTGTAACATTACTACTGAAGAACAAGGTCAAGCTGAACATCACTAAATGAAGAACAAGGTCAAGCTGTAACATTACTACTGAAGAACAAGGGTCAAAGCTGTAACATTACACGAAGAACAAAGTCAAGCTGTAACATTACTACTGAAGAACAAGGTCAAGCTGTTTAAAATTACTACTGAAGAACAAGGCAAGCTGTAACATCACTACTGAAGAACAAGGTCAAGCTGTAACATCACTACTGAAGAACAAGGTCAAGCTGTAACATCACTACTGAAGAACAAGGTCAAGCTGTAACATTACTGAAGAACAAGGTCAACCTGTAACATTACTGAAGAACAAGGTCAAGCTGTAACATTACTGAAGAACAAGGTCAACCTGTAACATCACACGAAGAACAAAGGGCAAGCGTAACATTACTACTGAAGAACAAGGTCAAGCTGTAAAAATTACTACTGAAAAAACAAGGTCAAGCTGTAAACATTACTACTGAAGAACAAGGTCAAGCTGTAACATCACTACTGAAGAACAAGGTCAAGCTGTAACATTACTACTGAAGAACAAGGTCAAGCTGTAACATCACTACTGAAGAACAAGGTCAAGCTGTAACATTACTACTGAAGAACAAGGTCAAGCTGTAACATCACTACTGAAGAACAAGGTCAAGCTGTAACATTACTACTGAAGAACAAGGTCCAAAACTGTAACATCACTACGAAGAACAAGGGTCAAGCTGTAACATTACTACTGAAGAACAAGGTCAATCTGTAACATCACTACTGAAGAACAAGGTCAAGCTGTAACATCACTACTGAAGAACAAGGTCAAGCTGTAACATTACTACTGAAGAACAAGGTCAAGCTGTAACATCACTACTGAAGAACAAGGTCAACCTGTAACATCACTACTGAAGAACAAGGTCAAGCTGTAACATCACTACTGAAGAACAAGGTCAAGCTGTAACATTACTACTGAAGAACAAGGTCAACCTGTAACATCACTACTGAAGAACAAGGTCAACCTGTAACATCACTACTGAAGAACAAGGTCAAGCTGTAACCATCACTACAGAAAACAAGGCAAGCTGTAACATTACTACTGAAGAACAAGGTCAAGCTGTAACATCACTACTGAAGAACAAGGTCAAGCTGTAACATTACTACTGAAGAACAAGGTCAAGCTGTAACATTACTGAAGAACAAGGTCAAGCTGTAACATCACTACTGAAGAACAAGGTCAAGCTGTAACATTACTACTGAAGAACAAGGTCAAGCTGTAACATTACTACTGAAGAACAAGGTCAACCTGTAACATTACTGAAGAACAAGGTCAAGCTGTAACATTACTACTGAAGAACAAGGTCAAGCTGTAACATTACTGAAGAACAAGGTCAACCTGTAACATTACTGAAGAACAATGTCAAGCTGTAACATTACTACTGAAGAACAAGCTTCAGTTATATCCTCACTGAAGAACAAGCTTCAGTTTTATCCTCACTGAAGAACAAGCTTCAGGTATTATATCCTCTCTGAAGAACAAGCTTCAGTTAATCCTCTCTGAAAACAAGCTTCAATTATATACCTCTCTGAAGAACAAGCTTCAGTTATAAACCTCACTGAAGAACAAGCTTCAGTTATATCCTCACTGAAGAACAAGCTTCAGTTATATCCTCTCTGAAGAACAAGCTTCAGTTATATCCTCTCTGAAGAACAAGCTTCAGTTATATCCTCACTGAAGAACAAGCTTCAGTTATAATCCCACAGAAGAACAAGCTTCAGTTATTCCTCTCGAAGAACAAGCTTCAGTTATAAACCTCTCTGAAGAAAAAAGCTTCAGTTATATCCTCACTGAAGAACAACTTCAGTTATATCCTCACTGAAGAACAAGCTTTAGTTATAATCCTCACGAAGAACAAGCTTCAGTTATAAACCTCACTGAAGAACAGCTTCAGTTATATCCTCACTGAAAAAACAAGCTTCAGTTATATCCTCACTGAAGAACAAGCTTCAGTTATATCCTCACTGAAGAACAAGCTTCAGTTATATCCTCACTGAAGAACAAGCTTCAGTTATATCCTCCGAAGAACAAGCTTTAGTTATATCCTCTCGAAGAACAAGCTTCAGTTTATATCCCTCACTGAAGAACAAGCTTCAGTTATATCCTCACTGAAGAACAAGCTTCAGTTATATCCTCACTGAAGAACAAGCTTCAGTTATATCCTCTCTGAAGAACAAGCTTCATTTTTTTATCCTCACTGAGAACAAGCTTTCATTCATATCCTCACTGAAGAACAAGCTTCAGTTATATCCCACTGAAGAACAAGCTTCAGTCATATCCCACTGAAGAACAAGCTTCAGTTATATCCTCACTGAAGAACAAGCTTCAGTTATATCCTCACTGAAGAACAAGCTTCAGTTATATCCTCTCTGAAGAACAAGCTTCAGTTATATCCTCACTGAAGAACAAGCTTCAGTTATAAACCTCTCTGAAGAACAAGCTCAGTTATATCCTCTCTGAAGAACAAGCTTCAGTTATATCCTCTCTGAAAACAAGCTCAGTCATATCCCACTGAAGAACAAGCTTCATTAATCCTCACTGAAAACAAGCTTCAGTCATATCCTCACTGAAGAACAAGCTTCAGTTATCCTCACTGAAGAACAAGCTTCAGTCATATCCTCCCCTGAAGAACAACCTTCAGTTATATCCTCACTGAAGAACAAGCTTCAGTCATATCCTCACTGAAGAACAAGCTTCAGTTAAAATCCTCACTGAAAAAAAAAGCTTCATTATATCCTCTCTGAAGAACAAGCTTCAGTTATATCCTCTCTGAAGAACAAGCTTCAGTTATATCCTCACTGAAGAACAAGCTTCAGTTATATCCTCACTGAAGAACAAGCTTCAGTTATATCCTCTCTGAAGAACAAGCTTCAGTTATATCCTCTCTGAAGAACAAGCTTCAGTTTTTAACCTCACTGAAGAACAAGCTTCAGTTATACCCCCACTGAAGAACAAGCTTCATTATATCCTCACTGAAGAACAAGCTTCAGTTATATCCTCACTGAAGAACAAGCTTCAGTTATATCCTCACTGAAGAACAAGCTTCAGTTATATCCTCACTGAAGAACAAGCTTCAGTTATATCCTCACTGAAGAACAAGCTTCATTTTTATCCTCACTGAAGAACAAGCTTCAGTTTTTTATCCTCCCTGAAGAACAAGCTTCAGTTATAACCTCTCCGAAGAACAAGGGTTCAGTTATATCCCACTGAAGAACAAGCCTTCAGTTATATCCCACTGAAAACAAGCTTCAGTTATATCCTCACTGAAGAACAAGCTTCAGTTATATCCTCTCTGAAGAACAAGCTTCAGTTATATCCTCACTGAAGAACAAGCTTCAGTCATATCCTCACTGAAGAACAAGCTTCAGTTATAATCCTCAACTGAAGAACAAGCTTCAGTCATATCCTCACTGAAGAACAAGCTTCAGTTATATCCTCACTGAAAAACAAGCTCAGTTATATATCCTCACTGAAGAACAAGCTTCAGTTATATCCTCTCTGAAGAAAAAGCTTCAGTTATATCCTCACTGAAGAACAAGCTTCATTATATCCCTCTAGAAGACAAGCTTCAGTTATATCCTCTCTGAAGAACAAGCTTCAGTTATATCCTCTCTGAAGAACAAGCTTCAGTCATATCCTCACTGAAGAACAAGCTTCAGTTATATCCTCACTGAAGAACAAGCTTCAGTCATATCCTCACTGAAGAACAAGCTTCAGTTATATCCTCACTGAAGAACAAGCTTCAGTCATATCCTCACTGAAGAACAACCTTCAGTTATATCCTCACTGAAGAACAAGCTTCATCATATCCTCACTGAAGAACAAGCTTCAGTTATATCCTCACTGAAAAAAAAAGCTTCAGTTTATATCCTCTCTGAAGAACAAGCTTCAGTTATATCCTCTCTGAAGAACAAGCTTCAGTTATATCCTCACTGAAGAACAAGCTTCAGTCATATCCTCACTGAAGAACAAGCTTCAGTTATATCCTCACTGAAGAACAAGCTTCAGTTATATCCTCACTGAAGAACAAGCTTCAGTTATATCCTCACTGAAGAACAAGCTTCAGTCATATCCTCACTGAAGAACAAGCTTCAGTTATATCCTCACTGAAGAACAAGCTTCAGTTATATCCTCTCTGAAGAACAAGCTTCAGTTTAAAATCCTCCTGAAGAACAACTTCAGTTATAAACCTCACTGAAGAAACAAGCTTCATCATATCCTCACTGAAGAACAAGCTTCAGTTATATCCTCTCTGAAGAACAAGCTTCAGTTATATCCTCACTGAAGAACAAGCTTCAGTTTTTAACCTCACTGAAGAAAAAGCTTCAGTTATATCCTCACGAAGAACAAGCTTTAGTTATATCCTCACTGAAGAACAAGCTTCAGTTATATCCTCACTGAAGAACAAGCTTCAGTTATATCCTCACTGAAGAACAAGCTTCAGTCATATCCTCACTGAAGAACAAGCTTCAGTTATATCCTCTCTGAAGAACAAGCTTCAGTTATATCCTCACTGAAGAACAAGCTTCAGTTATATCCTCACTGAAGAACAAGCTTCAGTTATATCCTCACTGAAGAACAATCTTCAGTCATATCCTCACTGAAGAACAAGCTTCAGTTATATCCTCTCTGAAGAACAAGCTTCAGTTATATCCTCACTGAAGAACAAGGTCACACTATACTGAAAGTTTGATGCGAGGATCAAGATGGGGAACTCTTACATAATGTTAGATAAATGAACACTTATGCAAATAATGTGACATTGTACAGTCCGTGGTTCGATCCCCTGTACGGGTGGAAACATTTAGCGTGTTTCCTTAAACCTGCTGTCCCTGTTCACCTAGTAGTAGGTAGGTACCTGGGTGTTAGTCGACTGGTTTGGGTCGCATCCTGGGGACAGGATTTTCTGTACAGTATAATCATTGTCAGTTAGGTCTGTACATGTTGTATCATGTGCTTGTAGAAATCAAAATTAATATTTTTACATACTGACCAACAATGAAGTCGTACTGAGGCAGGAGGTGAGCAGAGTCGTCATAGTTATCCTGATCTATGTTGCCCTTTAGCATGAAGAGCACCAAGAACCTGACCAGTGACTGAGTGATGACCAGGGTGGCTGGCCGACGCATCCTGCCTCACTACACACACCTCTCATATGATGATCCAACCAGATCAAGAGTCTGCAACCTGAAAAACAAGATAAGTTTGCCTTCTGTTAGTGTTGTAAGTGTCGCGTGGCTTGGTTGGTAACGCTCTTGCCGGGCACAATGAGTGTACATGGTTAGATCCCCAACATAGGAGGAAATGCTGGGCTAATCCTCCTGGTTAAAAATCTAAGATAATTATATGTGAGGAGGAATCAAACTCATTGGGAGTGGGGAGAGGGGGGTTACATACTTCTGCAAAATTATCGATTTCCGTTATTTAGGTTAGATTTAGTTAGGTTAAATAGTCTGTCAATAAGAAATCATCAATTATATCATTCCACAACACCAATTAAGGAAATATAAGGTAAAGTCCATGAAAACTGCTTGACACGGGAACAAAACCCGAGAAGCCACCCAGCGCAGTAAAGCCATGTCAGAGAATCACTGTTTAAAATACTCGTTAAACAGTCACCCATATGACTGTCTTAACTACAGTGAAATAGTCTGTTATTGAGAGGATTGGCTGTGATCCAAGAAAGGGGAGGATAACTTTAATAACTTGAGTCAAGGAACCTTCACAGTCAGAACATTTATCTAAGTAAACTTCCCGTCACGAGTGGCTCCATCAGTCACTCATGGAGCCACTCCTCCCGATTTTTTTTTCTTTCAGTAAATGTCGTGGACTGTACATAGGCGGAGTGACCTCAACCATCATCAGAACTCATTGTGAATATTAATAACACTACCTGGGGACCTCATCAATATATACTCTAAGAGTTTAGTTATATCAATATTTCATGGATTCAAGTATTCCTGAGCGGTGGTGTTATGTGATACACTGGGATACCTGATTAGAGAAGAACCAAAGATTTGCAAGGAGATTAGCACAGAAACATATGGGAAAAAGAATGCGAGGGAAGATTTAGGTAATTCAAACTCATTCACAATATGCGAGAGGACGGCAAGATCTGAAGAATTCTTGGAGGATTAGGTAATGGATAGGAAGAGGCTTTATAAGGAATGAGTAGAGGGAGACAGGGGCACAAGAGACGCAGATGAGCTATAGGAGTATTAGGGAGCATCTTGGTGGTTTGGGTAAATATTTGAAGATTAAAGAATAGTACGAGCAGCCCCAGGAACCGGAAATTGGTTAAACCTGATGAATTGAGAGGCAGGACAAGGGAATATGACTCAATCTCTTGCAAAGAAAAAGGTGAGAGAACACACATACACACACACACACACACACACACACACACACAACACACACACACACACACCAACACACACACACACACACACACACCAAGAGAAGAATACGATGAGAGCAACAGAGCCATGGTCGACACACTAGCCGAGGTGGCCAGGAGAGCAGCACACATGGGGGGGAGCAAAGTTACTAGTTATGGGTGATTTCAATCACAAGGAGATTGACTGGGAAAACCTGGAGCCCCATGGGGGTCCCGAAACATGGAGAGCCAAGATGATGGATATAGTACTGGAAAACCTCATGCATCAACATGTTAAAGACACTACCAGAGAGAGAGAAGATGAACCAGCAAGACTGGACCTTGTATTCACCTTGAGTAGTTCAGACATCGAGGATATCTTGTATGAAAGGCCCCTGGGAGCTATTGATCATGTGGTTCTGTGCTTCGATTACATAGTTGAGCTCCAAGTGGAGAGGGTAGCAGGAATAGGGTGGGAAAACCAAACTACAAAAGGAGGAACTACTCAGGCATGAGGAACTTCCTTCAAAACATTCAGTGGGAGAGGGAACTGACAGGAAAACCAGTACAAGAAATGATGGACTATGTGGCAACAAAATGCAAGGAGGCAGAGGAGAGGTTTGTTCCCAAGGGAAACAGAAATAATGGGAAGAACAGAACGAGTCCTTGGTTCACTCAAAGGTGTAGGGAGGCAAAAACTAGGTGTACTAGAGAATGGAAAAGGTACAGAAGACAGAGAACTCAGGAAGATAAAGAGATTAGCCGAAGAGCCAGAAACGAATATGCACAGATAAGAAGGGAGGCTCAGCGACAATATGAAAATGACATAGCATCGAAAGTCAAGACTGACCCGAAGCTGTTGTACAACCACATCAGGAGGAAAACAACAGTCAAGGACCATGTAATCAGACTGAGGAAGGGTGATGGGGAATTCACAAGAAACGACCGAGAGGTATGTCAGGAGCTCAACACGAGATTTAAAGAAGTATTTACAGTGGAAACCAGTAGGACTCCAGGAAATCAGAACAGGGTGGAACACCAGCAAGTGCTGGATGAGGTACATATAACCAAGGAGGAAGTGAAGAAGCTGCTATGCGAACTTGACACCTCAAAGGCGGTGGGACCAGATATCTCTCCGTGGGTCCTTAAAGAGGGAGCAGAGATATTGTGTGTGCCATTAACAAAGATCTTCAACACATCATTTGAAACTGGGCAACTCCCTGAGGTATGGAAGATGGCAAATGTAGTCCCAATTTTTAAAAAGGGAGACAGACATGAGGCACTAAACTACAGATCTGTATCACTAACGTGTATAGTATGCAAGGTCATGGAGAAGATCATCAGGAGGAGAGTGGTGGAGCACCTGGAAAGAAACAAGTGAATAATTGACAACCAGCACGGTTTCAGGGAAGGAAAATCCTGTGTCACAAACCTACTAAAGTTTTATGACAAGGTGACAGAAGTAAGAAAGAGAGAGAGGGGTGGGTCGACTGCATTTTTTTGGACTGCAAAAAGGCCTTCGACACAGTTCCTCACAAGAGGTTACTGCAAAAGCTAGAGGATCAGGCACACATAACAGGAAAGGCACTGCAATGGATCAGAGAATACCTGACAGGGAGGCAACAACGAGTCATGGTACGTGACGAGGTGTCAGAGTGGGCGCTTGTGACAAGCGGGGTTCCACAGGGATCAGTCATACGACCTGTGCTGTTCTTGGTATATGTGAACGACATAACGGAAGGGATAGACTCAAAAGTGTCCTTGTTTGCAGATAATGTGAAGTTAATGAGAAGAATCAGGCAGGACTACAAAGAGACCTGGACAGGCTACAAGCCTGGTCCAGCAACTGGCTCCTTGAGTTTAACCCTGCCAAATGCAAAGTCATGAAGATTGGGGAAGGGCAAAGAAGACTGCAGACACAATATAGTTTAGATGGCCAAAGACTGCAAACCTCACTCAAGGAAAAAATTCTGGGGGTGAGTATAACACCGAGCATATCTCCTGAGGCGCACATCAATCAGATAACTGCTGCAGCATACGGGCGCCTGGCAAACCTACGGATATCGTTCCGATACCTCAGTAAGGATTCGTTCAAGACTCTGTATACCATTTACGTCAGGCCCATACTGGAGTATGCAGCACCAGTTTGGAATCCACACCTAGTCAAGCACGTCAAGAAATTAGAGAAAGTGCAAATGTTTGCAACAAGGATAGTCCCAGAGCTACGGGGATTGTCCTACGAAGAAAGGTTGAGGGAAATCGGCCTGACGACACTGGAGGACAGGAGGGTCAGGGGAGACATGATAACGACATATAAAATACTGCGCGGAATAGACAAGGTGGACAAAGACGGGATGTTCCAGAGATGGGACACAGACACAAGAGGTCACAATTGGAAGTTGAAGACTCAGATGAATCAAAGGGATGTTAGGAAGTATTTCTTCAATCATAGAGTAGTCAGACCGTGGAATAGCCTAGAAAGTGACGTAGTGGAGGCGGGAACTATACATAGTTTGAAGGCGAGGTATGATCGAGCTCATGGGGCAGGGAGAGAGAGGACTTAGTAGCAATCAGCGAAGAGGCGGGGCCAGGAGCTATGACTCGACCCCTGCAACCACAAATAGGTGAGTACAAATAGGTGAGTACACACACACACACAAACACACACACACACATGCACATGCACACATACATGCACACACATGTGTGTGCTTGGGGGCTCAGAGGTGAAGGCGACGGCTCAGGGATAAGAGGAAGATGGTCCTGGGAGAATGGATGGAATAGCAATGTAAAAGGATGGAATAAGAGTGGGAGACCAAACTAGGTGAGCTTTCTACAAATATGGAGAAGAGGATAGAGGAAAAGAAGATCCGGGAGTCACAAGCTAAAGCCACTGAAGCCAGGATACAGTCCCTAAAATACGAGGTAAATATGCTAAAGCGAGTTACAGGGGCATGGCACCTGAAGAAGGCACACCCCTACTAAACAAGGAGCCCAGCAGAAGGGAAGGAGACAAGTTTTACACTAAGGCCCTATCAGTCCACCAAGCAAGGCAGAGGAATATAGGGTGAGAGTTATTAGGAGATGGGATAACAGTAAGGATGGAGAAGGTAGAAAAAGTGACAGGTCCCATGCAGAGGTACGACAATGCCACCAAAAGTTACAGGAAAAAATAAGGGAGACAATGGCTATAGACAAATGGGACCCAGTGACACTAAGGGAAAGGCAATGGGAGAAGGAGAGGGAGAGGCCAATGTTTATTCGTAGGCTTAAGGAGAGCGAAGGAAGAACACATGATAAAAGATGGCAGAAAGCAAAACAGGTGATTGAAAACATCATCAGAGAAATAAGCAAGGATGATATGACTGAGAATAGGAGGGTGCTTGAAGGGGAGAAATTGGCTGGTCAGAATAATTTTCAAGACAGAAATGGTGCAGAACAGGATCTTGCAAGAGAAACAAACCACATAAGAACATAAGAACGAAGGAACACTGCAGCAGAGTGCAGATTCAGGGCCCATAGTCTATCCTCATAGGGAAGGTTTCTGATACATGGGGTCAACTTTGTCATCCTCCTTTGTACGTTTTCCAGAGCATTTATATCCATTCTGTAATACGGTGACCAAAACTGTGCAGCATAATCTAAATGAGGCCTAACCAAGGATGTATAGAGTTGAAGAACAACCTGAGGACTCCTATTATTTATGCTTCTTGATATGAAGCCAAGGATTCTATTAGCTTTATTGCAAACACTTATGCACTGTTGTCTTGGTTTCAGATTACTGCTAACCAGAAGTCCTAAATCTT